GGTGAAGTCACGTGGTGTTTGCTCTTTCCCAGATGTCATTTCTAGGTGATAAACCACATGGTTGCGTATTGCTCATGGTGAGCTCAGCTACATGTTTTTTTTTCTTTTTTCTGTTTTTTTTGTTTTTTGTTTTTTGAGACAGGGTTTCTCTGTAAGTTTTTTTGGAGGCTGTCCTGGAACTCTCTTTGAAGACCAGGCTGGCCTCGAACTCACTGAGATCTGCCTGCCTCCGCCTCGCAAGTGCTGGGATTAAAGGCGTGCTCCGCCGCCACCACCACCGGGCTCCTCAGCTACATGGTAAAGTAGCATGGGTGCCCATGGGACCCCCACATCTTACATATTACATATAAACAGTCACATATACCCTGGGATAAGGGTCAAGTGACCTTCTTTGCTCCCTTCTTTTATGAGGGAACACCTGTACTCAATCCACCAGATGTCATGATATAAGCAGCCATGGTGGGTCTTATGAAGATGGTGCTGTGTAAATGCCAGCTTAATAAAAGAAAGCTACATCGGAACTGCATACGCAGAGTAATGTACTAAATTAACATGCCCAGGTAACGTACATGGAGCCAGCTATCATTACAGTGTTTGAGCTTTGGGTGGGTGTATGTAGCAGGACAGAGTAAAACATGTACAATACCCCTAGAAATCAACTAAGGAGGCCCCTCAGAACTATTATGCTGGAATTACTAGTTGATAATTTATAGACAGAAAGCCTCTACATGGATAAGCATCCCATTTGTTGATTTTACTATATTTATAACAGTAATCTATATTGAAAATAGTTTGTCCATTAGTTGTCCTTAAGGGTACAGTACCCTGCAGGGTATTTTGTTCTCCTTTTCCTTCTTACAGAGTGAGGGGCCAGCCAGATCCAGGGCAGGCTATAGAGGGCATCATGAGACAAAGATGATTGAGTCTGAAGTGGGCGGGCCAGATGCCATCTCCAGAGTGAGTTTCTCAGATAGCATAAACAGCATAGGACAATCTGCTACCACAGTCCATATATAGGCTTATGAGGCAGGTCAAAACCAGAGAGAGTCTGGGAATTAAGTTCAGAAGTTCAAGCTAATAAACCTAGATATGCAGAAAAGAAAGAGCAAAGGAAGGACAAACATGAATGGAGATAAAAAGGACTTGCATGTGGAGAGCTTCTGGCCCATTGAACATAGCAAATTTAGGCCAGTGATTTCGTTTGTCCTGGGCATATTGAGGCCGGATATATATCTAACTTGAGCACCAACACAAAGTTGAAGCCCCGGTGTACCACTGGTGTCTTCATGACCCTTACCTGTACAGTGTTGTGTGTGGGCTCCAGAAATGGCAAAGATGCCCTCTGGAGTGCCAGAGGTTGGTTTAGGGGTTAAGACAAAGACACAAAGAGTAGATCACCATTCTGCCAATAGCGTTAAGACAAAACTCTCTCTGCTCATTTGGCTAGTGTTAGAAACCAGGGGTGAAGTCTCTGGGTCACATCCCGGTATATGGTTTAGCCATAGAGAGCTTTGGAGGTTAGGGTAAGCTGATGTTGGGTGTCTGTATCTTTAGTTGATTTGCAACCTCTGGAGAAACTAATAGGGTTCAAAGCAGGAGAGGGCCATAAATACAAATGAATTCTTTTTATACATATTGAAAAAACAAAAACAAAAACACGGGACATGTTCCACTTTTTTCTTTTTCTTTTTTTTCTTTTTCTTTTTCTTTTTCTTTTTTTTTTTTTTTAACGCTCCAGGTGTGATGAGAGATTAGGTATCCAACACAGAGAGGAGAGTTAATTAAAGTTTTTGTTCTGGCTTACAGAAAGAAATGTCTTTCCATTTGATAAGGGGATGGCTTTTGTGTACCATGGTGCTTTATTCTCCTTCATAGGAGCGTCACAAAAAAAAGCAGATCAAAGCAGCCTTCCATCCGGATCTGTTTCCTGCCACCTTTCTCGACTAATGGAGTTAAAAGTGTCTTCTACGTACAGTGTTGGGCTCATCCGACTTTAGAAATGACATCTTACTGTATTGGTAACAAGTAAAACAGCATATATAGGTGCTTATGGAAAACCATATTTAATATGAATTAAATAGAAACCAGCCCCAAAGGTCCAAGTGAGGGAGTGTGGCAGGTGCACCTCCCCCTTTATCTGTATTTTATTCATCAACTCTGATTGACGGCCGGAAATTAGCACTTGAGCTTGAATGTCCCAAGCGCTGTAGATTTACTGTATATTCCCCGTTCCTTTTGGTCGTTATGATTCAGCACCCCATGGCTGACATTTCTTACCTTCGCCAGGGCCGGGAGGGCATGTTTGGGAGAATTCCTGCTGTTTTTCTCTTCAAGATAGTGACAAAGTGAAATAAGATGGAATGAAATAGAAGTGGCCCTGGTGAGGCCTGTCTGAGCTGGCAGGTCAGGCTGCAAGCAGGGGTTGGTCATTGTCTTGCAGTTCTGGGCTCCTGCAGAGAAAAACCTGGCCTGGCTACAGCCACCAATGAAAAGAAGGCATTTAGCAGTGCAGGGCTTTGTGAAGGCTCCAAAGCTTGACATGGTTGCTATAGTTACTGTCTGATTGTGGTAGCTTGTCACAGTGCTTGATAAAGTGGGAAGGTTATCCATGATGGGCCCAAGTAATCAGAACCTTGCAAAGCTTGAGTGTGTGGGTTTAAATAGTTCCCCCCCTCCACCCCCGTTTTTAAGCTGGGAGTGCAGGGGGTGGGGTTAGGGAATTCTTAGGACAGCAGCCACAGGGCTTTTCTTTCTGACAGGGAAGCTTACACACGTCTGGAAGAAAGGTGTCCATATGTCTTGAGGCCCAACAGAAATGAGGGTCATGCTGCTGGCCACCTGCTAAGCCATGGCTGGTGTGAGTGTGGCTTTGAGAGGGGCTGCAAAGACCCTCTGCTGACCCTGTAAATTGATTAGGTTGTTTCTTTTGGTCCCTTGTCTTTTCAGCTTCCTTTCCTGATTTTCCATTCTTCCCTTTGTCCTTTGCTCCTACCACTTACCTGCCACTGGCAGCATTTCTGTCAGGTACAGCAGACCCTTGGAAAGCCATCTACTGTCTTCTCATGTGGGTGAGAAGACTACTTAAACCGACATTGAGAACTGGCGGGTTCTGGCTCTAAAAGTATACACATTTTTTCTTTCTTCAGAAGGGATCTGAGCCTTTGTCTTGGTGGCAGTTTCATGCTCATTGACAAAGGGGCTATGGTGGCTCTTTATAAATTCTGGCTTGCATCAGAAGTCCTAACTCAGCAGGGCTAGGGCTAGGAACCTACATGTTCCCTGAGTTCCCACCTGAGGTCTGTGCCACAGGTAGCTGACCAAGGTCTAAGAACCACAGCATGGGCCTGGACTTTGCAGTTTAGAACACGTGGATGGATTAGTTACCAGGGACTCAGGTGACTTGGTAACCAGGGAGGGACTAGTACCCATTTCTAGGAACCTTCAAAGTAGATTATTTCCTCAGCCTCTCTCCCAGTTCCCTAGTCCAAGGCAGCCAGATCCTCCAGTAGGACTTCCTAAATTCCCTACAGGGAGGCCTGGTCATGCCCTCCTCCTTTATCTAGAGTACATATCTCCAAGTGAAGCCACACTGCTATTGTGTACCTGGCCAGGCACACTTTCAACAGAGCCAATGCTCCTTGCTTTCCTACTGACACTCAAAGTTACTATGGCCTACTAGCAGGCCAATGTACACTTGGCTTGCATGAGTGGTGGGTGCTGTGAACTCGAGGCAGGGATGAGCCTCCATGCACCTTCTTCTGTATCAGCTCCCAAGTAATGAGGGGAATGGATCTAAGTGGGTCCTGTTGATTCAGAACCACAGCCCTCATCCTAAAGGGAATAAGACAGAGTTTATTTTTGAGCCATTTTAGTGACCATGGCCTTAGAATGCAGATTTAGGTTATCCCAAATTCCAGGTTTAACACAGAGGTAGTTTCATGAAGTCTTACAGTTTTATAGAACAAAGAAAGTCGTAAATCAAGGCAAGTTTAAAACACATTTTTGGGAACACTAGAGAACTGGTCTATAGGCCCAAGATGCTATCTGATGATGTCCTTAGCTTTTGGGGTCTACTAAGTTAATAGATGGCAAAGGTGATCTATTTATCACAAGGTGTTAGTTCAGACACAGTGATGGGCAAGGAATGGATGTTCCAGAGGTCTAGAAGGACCTAAGATAAGGTAATTAGCCTCTAGACCTGCAACATTCCAACCTCTCTACATTACTGGAGTTCTAATCGGCCAGTCAGCCTCTGCAGACATAGCTTCCTTCGGGAGTTTTGTTTACAGCACTGTTGAAGGAACCTGGATAGATGTCATTTTCCTAAGCCACTTAATTGAGGTGGGGAGTTCAGTGTATACTCAGGACAGGGCTGAGGGCCACACTTTCATTCTTGGTGAGGAGCCCAGAGTTAGAAAGAAGCAAGACCTATGAGGTCAAGATGTCCCTATGACGAGTCCCAATGCCTTTGCCTTATGTTAGATGTAACTCCCCGAGACAGAGGAGCTATACTTTCAAGTTGTAAAGCAAGTATTTGTCCTCAGGCCCTAATTAGAAACAAAGCACAACCAGAATTCATTTACCCCTGAGTGACAGGGCTCAGAACCTAGTAAGGCTGCTCGTTGTGCAGCTGTGGTACCTGGATGCAAATGACATGATCATTTGTCAAAGGTAATCTCACTCCCCAGGATATCGGAGCATCTCTGCTAGCATATGATAGGTTTGGGGCTTGGGAGAAGGCAACTGTGCTTCTTCAGTGACACTCACCGGAGACTATTTGTCCAGACAAGGATAAAACAAAATTAATGAATTCATCTTTGGGCTCTAATTCCTTACCGATTGCATAGCCCAAGTTGGCCTAGGAAGAAATTGTTTGGCCCTAAATTCTCAACTCTTCAGCTCATGTCCTCAGAGCCCCCTACCCTGCTTTGTATGGTTAGATCAGTGGGAGGAGTGATTCCAGAGGTGGCAACAGTGCTCATGGTGACCTTTCCCCACAGGGTGCAGAGGTGCAAACAGACTACATCCCCCTGCTGAACTCACTGGCGGCCTACGGATGGCAGCTCACCTGTGTGCTGCCAACTCCCATACTCAAGACTAGCAGGTAACAAGAATGGTAACTATGGGGATAGCTGTCATTGTCCCTGAGAAGTGGATGGGTAATCTTTTTAGTCCTGCACCAGGCCTGTGGGCTGGCACTGAACTCTTTGGCTTTGGCTTTGGGGGCCAGGGTTGCACTTACTTCTCTCTTTTCCTTCCTCACATGGAAGAGCCTTGGCCCAGGGCCAGGGTTGCCCCGGGGAACTGGCAGGACACTGCACCAGCAGACATAAAACAGTTCAATGCCTACTCTGGGCTCTGGGCTTGGTAGTACTATGTATACAAAACCTCAGTTAAGGGACGGGGTGTCAGGAAGAGAAATGGAAAGGGAAAAGGAGGGAGAGAGAGTCTGAAAGACTGAGATAGAGACCTCTGAGGTAGATTTTTGCCTTTGAGATAGGATCTCACTCTATCCCAGGCTGGCCTTGAACCTATACTCCTCTAGCCTTAGCCTCCTGGATGGTATGGTACCACCATACCAGCTGATTTTTTAATATTATTATTATTATTTCAAATCCATTTTCAACCAAGGAAAGTGTGCCCTGGAATGATAAGGGATTTGCCCAAGATCATGAACTCTGTGAGGCAGATATGCAGACCTGAGTCTTAGGTCTTAACTGTGGTGTTCTTCACAAGTTCAGGTTCATAGATGCTTTCCCATTGTCCTTGAGCCTTGTCATGCAAACCCTAAAAGACTTCCCATCTATCTTTTGAGTCCTCCTAACTTGCAACCCCCATCTATGGGTGAGAAGTGAAGCTCAGAGTGGTCTGTGGTGGGCCTGAGGCCCATTGTCAGTAGGGCCTAGTGCCTCAGGGTTGGCTGCCTCTCTGTTGGCCTACACTGATTCCCCTCTCATCTCCCTACCCAGTGGTCCTTAGGGTTCTGCCTTTACTGAACTCACTGCACAGTTCACACTGCAGGGCAACAGCAGCTGGCAAGACTGATGGCCTGGACTGCTTGACAGTGGGAAAATGAACTCGATAGCCTATTGCCTTCCTGGGTCCCTCTTCTAGCTCCTCTGGGTCCTCAGCATCCCCACCTGTCTGTGGCAAAATTTGGGTTTGGCCACTGGGAACCACTATGCTCTTTTGTAGACAAGAATGTCTCCAGGCACAGGCTGATACAGTAGAGCAGAAAACACCCCAAGGCTGCCACTGTTATCCTGGCTAAGGCATGCAGCTTCTCTGAGTCCGTTCCTAGTTACTTTCCAGAGGACACAACCATGATGACAATGAGATTGGACAGGAAGACCGGGTGCTCTGAGAGATGTTAACCCAGGGGCACAGAACTGTCTGTCTACACCCCCCCCTTCCTTAAACTGAACCTTTGGTCTGTCAAAGTGACTGTGGGCTGCCCTGCAGCAGGGCGATGAGTCTGAAATGAGCCCTTAGGTGTGAAATCACCAGACTTTGGCAAACTGAGTTCAAGGCCAGCCTGGTCTACAGAGTGAGTTATACACACACACACACACACACACACAAAAAAAAAAAAAAAAAAAAAAAAAAACTGTCTGGAAAAATGGAAAAAAAATAAAAACATAAATAAGGGGCTGGTGAGATGCCTCAGTGGTCAAAAGCACTGTCTACTCTTCCAGAGAACCCAGGCTGAATTCCCAGCACTCACATGGTAGCTCACAACTGTCTGCTGTAACCCCAGTTCCAGGGATCTGACACCCTCACCCAGACAAACATGCAGACAAAACACCAATGTACATAAAATAAAATAAGGTGAACAAAGCATAGGGGTGGAGAGAACCATAGTCACCTTTAAATATTAAATAGAAATGTTCTGTCAAAGGTACAGCATCGTGGCCTGCCTTCTCTGCCTCGTGGCCTATGAGCTATCGTATCATTCCATCAGTGTGGATCAGACTTGATTAGCATGTGCCATCTCACTGCTAGCCTGACACTGCTGACATCAGCATGTCTATAGGAGCCACACAGGAGCTCAGCCTGTTTTTCAGTTCTTCCTCTGCCCCCCTCATGGTGCACTGAAGGGCTAAGCTCACCACCTATCTCTATGTTCCTGCCCAGCCATACCATAAATACCAAAGACAGAGCTGTAAGTCACGCTGTTCCTACTGGGACTCCTTAAGCGTTAGTGTACCCTCACTTAGCCAAGGCACCAGCTGCCACTGCCCATCAAAGGTAGGGTAATTTGTAGCCAGGAAGCAGGGATAGCCAGGCAGCATTGGTTGGTGTCTGAGGTAGCCTTTAACTTAGGGGTGGAAAAGTAGAGAAGGGAACTCTGACTCCCTGGTCTGGCTTCCGTCACTTAAAAGAAGTTCAGGATTGCACCTGTGGGGGTAACGCTTTGTCTCCTGGGGACCCCTGCTCACCCTCAACTCCTGTGTTTCAGGGAAGGGAATGTGTCCACCAAGCAGATTGTGTTTCTTCAGAGACCATGTCTACCTCAGAAAACCAAGAAGAGGGAATCGAAGGTAAGAGACACAAGACTTTGCTATCCCGCCCTTCCTGTTCCCTGGTTTTATGTGTGAGGATCTCGACTTCAGCTGGGCCTCTCCCATTTCCAAAGGCTCCTGGGACCCAGTAAAGACACAGGTTCATATTGGGTCATAGTAGAAGATGCTGGGATTCACCATTGAGGAGCCGGTCTCAGGCTTCCGACCGCCAGGGCAGATGACAGAGTCACGAGCTTGTGCTAGAGAACCCCACAAGGCTCAAATTAGGACACAAAGCCAGCTGCAGTGACCTGAGCTCATGCCCTTCCAGATCTCAAACAAGATGGCTGGAGCTTCAGCCTGCCTGCTGGACGACCCCTTAGGATGCTGAAGTTTGCTGGTGTGATAGTGTATATCTATAATCCCTGCATGAGGAAGTGGAGACAGCAAGATTAGTGTGAGGTCAGCCTGTGCTACGTAGGAGGCCTTGCCATAAAACTTAAGCCAGAAGTTTGCTGATCTTGGCAGAGGAACTGCCAGCCTCTTCTTTCTAGGACACGAGCCAGAGGTCTTTGACTGGCAGTTGGTGATGTAGACAAATGCCAACATAGCCTGTGGCAGTTTGTCCCCAGGCCAGTCTGTGCTGGAGGGTTGCCAGGCACTGTTGCTGGACTCTTGCCTATCCCTGACCCATCATCACAGAGGGACACTGGCTGTTCCCAGAGTTCTCTCTGTGTCCCCTGAAACAGCCTAACATCTGCTTCTGCCAGTGACTCAGATCCTCCTCCTGCCATCTTTGATGTGGGGCTTCTCCTGTGTGCTACAGCTTGGATCTGTAATGTCCTCAAAAGGTTAGTATGCTGACAGCTCAGTCTTTACCTGATGGTACTGTTGCGAGGTGGGAGAGAGAAAGGAAGCTAGGCCATGGAGGATTTGATCTTGAACAGGATATTGGAACAGATCCTGCCCTTCTCTTTTGGTTTGAAAGGCCTCCACCACCCACTCCTGAAGATGGAGTTTCCTGTTCCACCTGGTCCCTCAGCCTATTAGCCCCCAAATAAACACACAGAGACTTACATTAATTTATAAAACTGTTTTGTCTATGCCTTAGGCTTCTTACTGGTTATCTTTCTCTTAAGTATTAACCCATTTCTATTAATCTATGTATTGCCATGAGACTGTGGCTTACCTGTAATCCAGCCTGTTATTCCTTCGGCAGCATGCCATCTCTCCCTGGCAGTTCTCTCTCCTCTTCTCAGAATTCTTGTCTGGTAGCCCCACCTATGATTTCTGCCTGGCTACTGGCCAATCCGTGTTTTATTCATCAACCAGTAAGTGAAGCACATATATAGAAGGACATCACACACCCTAGTATCCTGTGCTGTCCCGCCACAGGTCCAAAGGCAATGAAACCAACAGACTACAAACCAAATCCCCTGAAACTGTCACCTTCCCTTCTTTTAGGTTGACTTTCTTTTAAAGTTATTTATTTGTTTGTGTTTCATGTGTGTGTGTGGCTATGCCTGCACGTATTACTTGCATGTCGGTGTCTGTGGAGGCCAGAAGAAGGAATTGGATCCCCTGGACGTTGTGAGCTGCTTGGTGTGGGTGCTGGGAATTGAACCCGGCTCCTCTGCAAGAGTACCAATTGCTGAGCCATCTCTTTCTCTCCTGCCGCCTTGAGTTGAGCTTCTTATCTGATAGCAAAAGAACATGGATTATATGGTGTAGGTGTGCTAATTCTCAGGAAGAGGTCAGCAGTTGAATGAGTCTCCCAAAGCCCCAGTGAGTTTTCCACCTGGGCCAGCCATGCTCCACTCTGATGACCACAGCCACACTCCAGCAAAAGTTGCCAACCTGTTTAGCTCTGCACAGTTGGCACTACCCCCACATTCCCCACTCTTTGTCCCTAGTGTTCTTTGGACCCAGAGTCCCAGGTAAGAGCATCTAGCCACTGAACAGATTGGAGTTGCCCCTCACCAGCCAACAAACCCTGTGGGTTGCCCATTCATTGAAGGAATGCCAAGGTGGCAGGGACAAGAAGCCAGATGGGCTGGAGTACAATCAAAGGCCACTCTCCAGGCTCTGAGATAGTAATGTGACAGGTGACAACAGAGGTGAACCAGAAAGCAGCTGCCAGTCACCATTAACCACCAGGAGCAGTCAGCCACCACCTGGAAGATAGATGGCCATAGACTGATATTAGGTAGTGCCTAGTCTCAGGCTCTCAGGATGTCACCAGTCACCAAAAGTGACATTCCATAAGCAACATACAAGATCACTACTAGATGTGGAAAGGTTGCACTTTAGCACCATGGTGGAAATGGCTCTAGAACTCCTTTCCTGGTGTCTTCTTCTAGGGCACCTTGACTCTGGTATGAAGACTGTGGCATCCCACTGAGGGGACATGGCAGTGGTGGCCTGATTTGAGGGGCAGGATTTTTTTAAATGAAAGTGGAACTGACTTTCCTCAGGGAAAGGATATTTTTCCTAAACAGTCAGCCAGCCCTAATTGACTGGACCACTGCAGACAGAGTGCTCTCTCTTTCTGTGCCCTATATCACTCTAAGACTAGCAATGAAATGCTAAGCAGTGGAGTTCTCCATGAGACTCCCCCAGAGGAAGGGAGCTGGCTTCTGGAAAGAATTGTGTACACTTGATGTCTCAGTCCCTGTCCCTGTTCACCTGGGTCTGTCCCATCATGACTCTTTCAGCAACTTCATCCAGTGTGCATCATTGCTCCTTTAAGCCAGGCTGCATTGTGCTTCTTGGTTCCGTGTTACCATATATATTAGTTACTTTCTCTTTGCTATCATCAAATCCATGCAAAGGGCAACTTCAGGAAGGGAGGGTTTTCTGGCTCACAGTTTAAGGAGGGCTATGGCCCACCATGGTAGAAGGTCTTGGCAACAGGAACAGGAGGCAGCTGGTTGCACCATGTCCACAGTCAGCAGACAGAGGGACAAGAAGTGAGGCCAGTCAAGAAAATCGCAAGGCCTGCCCCAGAGACTCACTTCTTCCAGTGAGGTGACACCGCCTAAAGGACTCACAACCTTCCCAAACAATGCCATCACCTAGGGACCAAGGAATCAAATACATGCACCTGTGATGGACAGTTTACACTGAAACTACAATTCTTGATTTTGCAGACAGTTCTTTAGGACTCAGGTCACTCCATTTCTCCTCTCTGTCTTCCAGAATCTTCATTTTATATCATCCTTGTAGCATTTGACCCAAGCCTCCTCTGTCTCTCCTTAACCTCTTTTCCTAGTAGTCTATGCTTTAAACCCTAGAAACTCTAGAATTCCTTCTGTTTCATGTGTACAACTACTCCAGTCTCCTGGTAGTGGGTTTCTCCTTCAAATATGTTTTCTATTCAGAGTCAAAGTGATCAGTTAAAAAGACCAACTTACGGCTGGAGTGATGGCTCAGCAGTTAATAGTATTACTGCTCTTGCAGAGGACCTGAGTTCAGTTCCCACACCCAAATGATGCCTCACGACTGCCTATAACTCCCATTCTGTCTTTAGTTACATGTTTGCAACAAAAACATGTAGGTATGCAAAGCTACACGTAGACAAAAACACACACACACACTTAAAATAGAAATAAACCTTTTTTTTTTTTTTTAAGACCAGTTTAAGGCTGACACAGAAGGTAGAAGCAGGGTAGGAAATTCAAGATCATCCTTGGTACATAGCAAGTCTAAGGCCAGCCCGATTACACAAGACCCTGTCTCACAAAAAGAAATTACAAAGAAAGAAGTGAGGAGCAGCAAGACTGTGTCTCCCACTGCTTACAGTCAGTAGCTTCATCATCTTAAAGATGGAGATCTGTCCTGTGGCCCGTGAGGCCCTCACCCTTTTGCCAGCCCTTTGTCTACATGCCAGTGTCACTGGCCTTCACTGTCCTCCAGTACCTCTGCCTCAGGTACAGCTTTTGGCTGTCCCCCTGCCTAGGATTCTCCTCTCCATTCTATCTCCACCCAGCCTCCTTGCCCAGGACAGTGTTCTCCCATTGAGGCTGAACTATGTTAGTCATTTTCATGTTGTTGTAACAGATACCCAGGACAGATAGTTAGAGGAGGAAAGACTTTTGGCTCAAGGTTTTAGTCCAGGCTGGCCCTGTTGTCCAGGGCCTGGGACAAGGCAGAATATGATCTTGGGGGTGTGAGGCTGAGGAGTATCTTCAGTATGTGGCAACCAGGAAGCAGAGGTTGAGCCCAGGAAGGGCAGGGGACCTCTACTTAACTACTCCCGCCACCTAGGCCCAATCACCCAGTTCCCCACCACCTTCCAATTTGTATGGTCCTACAAACTCATTAATGGATGAACCCATCAATGAAGGCCCTCACTGTTGGTCACCTGTCAATAGTTCCCCACCTGGAGACTCATGAGCTTTTATGGGGAGACCCCTTATGTCCACCACAGTGGCACACTGGGAAAGAACCCCAGGCTTGCCTCACAGACCTCTGCCCTGTGATCACTATATTCCGGCCTGTGTAAGTCTTCAGAGTAAACGTGTTTCCCTCTGATTATTGTTCTTCTGGTACCAGAGTTTAGGTAATGCTCAGGAGATACTGGCTGAGTTACTGACTGATTAATCAAACTTCTGAGCCCAGAACACATATCATGCATCAGAATTTAAAGGACAGAACTTCAGGATTGGCACACAAAAATGTGACCTAGTCGATCAGCCATGCAGATGAAATTCTCTCCAGTAGAGACCTCTTGGTCTCTTGAGTGCTGTCACTTCTGTGAATGTGACTGTCATTCATTTAGTTAAGAAACACTAAACTTCAGAGGGAGTGGTGATTCCACTACACTGAAGGAATCTTCCTTCCTTCCTTCCTTCCTTCCTTCCTTCCTTCCTTCCTTCATAAGATTTTAATTATGTGTTTGAGTGCATGTCTGAGTGTGGTTTTGTGCATATGTGTGCAGCGCCTACAGGGACCAGAGGTATCAGATGCCCCTAGAGCTGGGTTAGAGATAACTGTGAGCATCCTGTCGGCGCTGATGGAAACCAAACTTCCAGAGCCATCCTCCTACTCCAGCTCTGCTTCTTGAAGTTAACTTGTACAAGTTTCTAAAGGTACCCATTAGACCCACCCACCACTTCAGACAGACCGAACTGTAAAGTGAAGGCTTTCTATCCTTTCACCAGCCATTGGTCCATTCATTCTTTCCCTTTGTAGACTAGGGTCAAACCTAGGTCTTATGTATGCTAGTCAGGTGTTCTACCCCTGAGCTACAGCCACAGCCTTCTTTATATTTTTTGAGACAAGACGTAAGTAGGTTGCCAAAGTTGGACTTGAACTCACTCTGTAGCCCACGAAGACCTTGAGCTTGTGATTTCCTTCCTTTGCCTTCCTGGTAGCTGGGATTACAGGCTCACTCCACCAGGCCCAGTCCCCATACCCCCAAATTCTGAGTTGGGTAGTTTAGATGGATTGAGCAGTCCCAGTGCCACAGGTGAGGTGGCTGTGAAGCCTGTGAGATCCCCCCCCCACCACTCCTCAAGCTGAGGCATGGGCCTGAGGTGTGTTCCACACCCTGCCTCAGAGGCTGACCTGAGAAGCAGGCTCTACTCCTGGCCTCATCCCCATTTCTGTGGGTCTCCTTTTGGAGCCTTGGGATCTGAAGTTGCTGGTTCAGTTATTATGTAGGGACTGCCCCATTCCTACAAGGAGGTCCACCTGAGACAAGTATGGAGATGCAGGGGTGAGAGCCTGAGGAAACCCTTCCTAACTGATGGCCTGGGGTGTTCTTTCTTCTCAGACAGCTCTGTAGGATTGTAGTCCTTCCCCCATGTTTTCCTGGGCAAGCAGCTTTCAGGATGTGGCCTGAGAAACACCAGCAGCTATAGCAGGACTTGGGAGTTTGTTAAAAGTGCCAAATCACTGCCCAGCCTTCTTACCCACTGAGTTGGGCCCTTGGGAACCAGGGCCCATAGCTGTGTTTTATGGAGCCCTTAGTGATGCAGGTGCTTGCTCAGGGCCAAGGGCCTGAGAGCCTTCACTCATATTTTCTCCTAATTGATGTCTTTATCATAATTGATGTCAGGGAGCCTTCAAACAGAATGCTCTTTCCTTCTTCTTTTTAAAAATTTTTCAAGGCAGTTTCTCTTTGTAGCTGTTGTGGAACTCACTCTGTAGACCAGGCTGGCCTCAAACTCAGGGATCCACTTGCTTCTTCTTCCCAAGTGATGGGATTAAAGACATGCACCATGACCGCCAGGCAAAACTCTTTGTTTCTAATAAACCAAAGCATCATTCATTGCCATTAAGTAAGTCTGGACTTCCATTAGCTGGTAAATGGGTGTAAGGGTCCAACTGGCCTGACTGGTTCATCCAGACCTCTGAAAGCCTGGAGTCTAACGAGGCACATATGCTAGAGCTGAGCCAAAGGTGTGGCTGCCCTTACCCTTTTGAACAAGGTTGGGGTATGTTTGTTTTGTCTTTTTTTTTTTTCCCAGAAAGAAAGGCTGGGAAGGCAGCTAAAGAAACCAGGTTGAACTCTAGCACTGTAGTTTCTAAGCTGTGTGATTTGGGACAAGTTGATGGGAACCCCTATCAAGCATGACACATAGTAGGTCTTCATATTCTTTGAAGCTCCAAATGTGGATCCCTGTTACTTACCCAGTTCCTGATTACTTCCCATTCCAAAGACAAAGTGGGAGGGAGACCTATGCCTCCCTGGGAATCTGGCTCCATGACTGCTGGGAGTGGTCCAGACAGCACCAGAAGTCATGAGGTACCTCGCAAGCCCATTTGAGGACACAGGAAGCAGTATAGTCTTGGAAGGCCCTATTTGGCTGGGTAGATCCCTTTGTAATGACCCAGAAGGGCAGAAAGTAGTTGGAAAGGGTCTTAACTATATCACAGTGACAGGCCAAGCCCTCAAGTGGCCCTACAAGGGTGATAGAGAGAGCAGCTGCATTGCCCGCCTTGTAATCCGTAAGCTCCCATCTTTTTCAGGTCAACAGAACATGGCCTTCTACAGGTCACTGTGACAAGGCTTTCACAAAGACTAGACATTTTCTGGTCTATTTAGCAGAGGCAGATGCTGAGAAAATCGGGGCTCATGGTAGAGAGAGTCACATCTCAAGGCTGGCAGAACTGTCCTTGACAGGACACTGTGTGTCCACAGGAGACACTACTCACATTAGCTACAATGCATGGGGCCAGGGACAACTGTGAGAGAAGAGGAGTGTCACAGATATAAGAGCTTGCTCAGGAAATGACAGCCATTTAGTGCCAGAGCCAGGACGTGGGCTCAGCATCCTTGAAGTACAGGCAAGCCCCTTAGCTGAGCCAATCCTGCTGTTCTTTTGGCAAAAGTACAGCTTCCTCTGACTTCCCGAAACAGCTGACAGCTCCAAGGATAAAATACAGACTAGCTTAAGCAACTTCTTACAAAAGCATGGAAAATGTCAGAAGGTTCAGTTTGGGAACATCCATTTGGGTGGGGTCCAACCAGAGAAACATGGTGTCCAGAAAGATAGAGAGGATGCTCAGGACATTGCAGAAGCTAAAGGCTATGGGTTTTTGTTTTCCTTTTACTTGGTCCCCAGTTGGTGGAACTGTTTGAGAAGGATTAGGAGGTGTGGCCTTGTTGAAGGAGGTGTGTCACTGGAATGGGCTTTGAGGTTTAAAAAGCCCATGCCATTTGCAGTTAGCTCTCTTCTCTGCCTTGTGCTTGTGGATCAGCTGTAGCTCTCAGCTACTGCTGCAGGGCTGTGCCTGCCTGCTGCTGCCACACTCCCCGTCTTGATGCTCACAGACTCTAACCCTCTGAAACTGTAAGCCTCAAAATTAAAATCAAACTAAATGCCTTTTTTTGTAAGTCAACACAATCATGATGTCTCACCCAATCCCAACAGTAGAAAAGTAAGACAGCTTGGCCTCCTGAATAGTGGGATGATGTGGACGCACTCTTCCTAGCTTATTTAATACTTAAGTGTATATTTGGCATAACCACTGTGGTGCAGCTGAAATGGAAGGAGACTAGCGAGAACTTAAAAGCCAAAGTCCCTGTATGTCTCTTGGATCACAAAAGAGGCTGAGAAATCTGGCCAGTGAGTGTCCCAGCTGCACTTTTCTCAGCAGTCTCCTTCCAAAGTTTCTGCCACCCTGTCACTGGGCACATGACCTGAGGACTCTGAGCCTCTGCTGAGTTCCTTTCACATGAGCAAATCTTAGTTGCAATACTGTATGTGAAGTAGGCGAGAGGATGGATCTGGGTAGAGGAGGCTCTCAGGGACAGCGCCCTGGAATGTGGGCCAGAGGGAGAAGCTGAGCTGGGCTGCACCTCAGTCTCCAGGGGACTGCAGGTTGCACTAGCTTTTCACAGCTGGCATGGTTGAGTTGCTGTGAACCACACAGATCAGTCATAGGTTTGTGGGTTTGTCTGAGTACCTTCGTCAGCTTGTAAGAGAGGGCTGATAGCAGGCATCACTCTTGAAGCTGTGGGAAGGAGCCCATGAGTCCTGCAGGTTTATCTAGAGTCTGCAACACGAGCTGTGTGTCCCTGGCTAACTCATGTAAGCTGGGGAGAGAATTACCTGCCCACAGCCCACTCACAATGGGACTGGATAACTATAGGCCTGGTATCTAGAGAGGGCAGCTTCCCATCGTCTGTTTAAACCTCCAAGTGATGCCACTTCAGGAGCGCTTGCCTCCTTTGCCATGGGGCCCATGACACACTTCTCTCTCCACAGCTCCCGGAAATCTAGAATGTACTTATGGAAGGTGTTAAACAGGCACTGGGGGCGGGAGGGATGTGGCTTGGATTAGATCCTGGCTTGGTGGTGTCTGGGGATCTGGGAACTGTTGGGTTTGGAGATGAGAAGTGGAAGAGATGGCTTCCAGTGTTTATTCATCTCGGCCCTCTCTGCTTTCCAGTTCCAGTGGCGATTCTCCCGGGAAGAGACACAAAGCAGGCAAACGAGGAAATCCAAAGGTAAACGCAGTACCAGAGACAAGCAGCAAGCAGAGGAGAATGAGAAGAATCTAGAAGACCAGTTTCCCAAGGCTGGAGATGTAGGAAACTGTGTGCTGGGGACACAGCAGTGGGGCAGAGCCTCTGAGGTCAGGGAGCAAAGGCAGAGCTTGGGGGCTGTGCAGAATGGCCCTGCTGGCCACAACAGGGACTCGGTGGCCCCCAGGCACTCAAATCCCAGAGTGGAAGATGGGCTTGCTTTGGGGGCTGCTCCAGCAGAGGCAAATTGAGTCCATGATCTGTGCTAGGCCTGCAATGTGATGGCAAACCTTGAAAGCTTGCTAGCAGCTGGTTCGTTCTGTGTTACCCTTTGGCTTGAGGCACCGTGAGGGCTGGTCTCTGGCAGTGTTGCCTTCTGAGCACCCCCTGGAAAGCTGTGTTAATGATCACTTATGTTAAAGTGTAGAGTTGGGCTGTTCCTTCTAGACCTCAGGGCTGGAGGTCTGGTCCCACCACTTCTCCACGGGAGGGCATGGACCATACAGTACCTGTACTTCCTCACAGGGCTCCAGGGCACATCTGGGTCAACTTCTGGGATATCCTTTGCTACAAACCAAGGTTTTTCACTCACCCCTACATGCACCTGAGTCCTGCAACTCTGCGGGCTCTCCTCCTACTGAACCCCGAAGCGCTACAGCTGTCCCCTCCTCCTGAACCCTGCAGCTCTGTGGCTGTCCTCCTCCTCCTGAATCCTGCAGGAGACCCTGCTGCTTTGGAAGGTGACAGTGGTGGGGAAGGGGAGGTACCCAAATCCCTGCCTTTCTCAGAGTAGTTCTATAGATACTGGTGATCTGGAAACAGGTAATTCTCTGTGCTCCTGCTCTTGCAGGGTGTTCAAGAAAGTATTCTGTGTTAATATTAATGCCAAAAATGTTGTTTTAAAATTTTGTATCATCATGTCTCTGAATACATTCTGTCATTTTGGGCAGTTGGTAATCGGGTGCCCTTGTATGCTATTTTTGTTGATGTGTCATTGACTGAGTTGTATACTGTGCCTGTCACTTTTTACTGTCCATAAAGTGTTGTTAAAGCTTTAAGTAGACACATCTGGCAAACCTTGGAGACAGAACGCCATTGTCTCGATGGAAACAACCTGTCTCTTTCTTGTTTAGTTACTTAAAGCAATAAATCATCTGAGTTCTGTATGTGGTGAGAAGTATTTACCTTGTCTCAACTGAGGTCCTGGTATAGAAGGACTCTGTTCCTCATGCCCTGTGATATCGAGTTTTCTACCTCCTGGCAGTGTGGTAGACAATGGCAAACAGCAAAGCCACCTAAGCTCACTGGGTATTCAAGCTTTGGTTAAAAAAAGAAGTGGATTTGGATGCCAACAGGTGAGCAAGAGAGCACAAGATGGCTGTAATCAAATGCCTTTAACATCAACATTGATTCAGAGGTGTGGTTTCTAAGTTTCAAGTAAGTTTATTTAATGAGGAAAATCTTTTTTTCATTTCCAAGCTTATTAAAATAAAACCCATAAAACCTTGTGCAGCCATCTCTCTCTTTTTAATTTTATGTGTATAGGTGTTTTGCCTGTGTGTATGTCTGGGTGGGATATTGTTCCAGTTTCAGGCTAACAAATGATACTGGACTGTCTTCGGTTTTGTGTCTTCTTTCTTCTCCCTTGTAATGTGTTGATTCTAGCAGGTGTCATTGTATCGTGGAAGTTCTCAAACTAGCTGTACTTCAGAAAAATGCATTTTGACCAGTGGTTTTCAGTAATGGTCTCCATCTACTTCAAGGAGCAGCATCTTTGATGAGGGCTGAGGGCTGCCCATACATGTGGGTCTAAGCATACACAGTTAGGAATTATGCTGGCCTAGGAAAAAGGAGTGGTAGGCTCTCCTCCAAAACCCATGGCCTCACTAGCCCTGGGTAGATAGCTGGGTTTCCAGCACCAGGCACGATTTCCCTCCTGGTGAGTATGCCTTAAGTCTGGTTAGAATGCTGTTGGTTACCACCAAGATGAGTGCCACTATTGCACCTCCCAGGAGGACCTTGCAGGGCTAGTCATTGTTGTGGTTCATAGGTGTCACAGCTGGGTAGAACTATTGGTTGCCCTCCTCATTTGACAGTTTACATAGCACCTTCTGGTACTACTAAAGCTAGTCCTTGGAGATGAGGCATTTGGGTCTTATCCCATTAAATGTTCTGAGTCCCATATCCAAAGTGCATGGTGTCTTCAGTAGTAGGGACTTACCTTCAACACCCAGAGGCAACCAAAGTCAACAGCAATAGCTGATACTATTTTGTGAGTCTCCTGGACTCCCCTAACCAAGAACTTGAAAAGGTGTCTTTTCAGGTTTAATGCTTGCATTTTGTTAGATTGTTTATGACTCCTTGTGGGGAGCATTGTCATCCTACGTGACATAACTTCATTAAAAATTCTTATGCACTACCTGGGTGTCAACATGTAGAAGAATGCAAATAGATCCATGTCTATCACCATGCATAAAACTCAAGTCCAAATGGATCACCGAGAGCAACAATTAATAAATGAGACCTCATGAAACTGAGAAACTTCTATAACGCAAAGAACATGGTCAGTAAGACAAAACAGTTACCTACAGAATGGGAAAAGATCTTTACCAACCCCACATCTGACTGATGCATAATCTCTAAAATATATAAAGAACTTAAGAAGCTAGACATCAAAAGACCAATAATTCAATAAAAAATGGGGCATAGTGATGGAGGGTCCTTCTGTGTATGTTTATCTTATTGGTTGTTGAATAAAGCACTGTTCGGCCAATGAGGCAGAAAGATAGGTGGGACTAGGAGTTGAGGAAGATTCTGGGAAAGGTAGTAAAGAAGTCTTGTGATCCAGGCAGGAAGTGGCATAGCAGGCAGACTCAGAATATAAGTAGGGACAAGCAGGAAATAGTCCTCTTCCTCCTCTTCTCTGTGGAGCTGCCATGTGATCTGAGGAAGACAGGAAGCATTCTGCAGTGTCCTCTATAAGTCTTATAAATATATAGATTGATAGTTATGGTTGATACTTCAGACAGAGCAAGCATATAAGAAATCCTAGTCATTGGCCAGCAGCATTGTACCTAATATTAATCTCTGTGTGTTATTTTGGGCAACCACATAGTGATGGGGCTCAGGCGGCAGGCAGAAAGATTTATCGTTACAGCACAGCTTTAAACAGAGAACTCTTCAACAGAGGAATCTCAAATGGCCGAAAGACACTTAAGGAAGTACTCAACATCCTTAACATCTGATAAAACAGATTCAAACTCAGATTCAGCCATCAGAGAAATAAATGCAAATCAAAACCACCTTGAGATACCATCTTACACCTGTCAGAATGGCCAAGGTCAAAAACTCTGATGACAGCTTATGCTAGAGGGGATGTGGAGTAAGGGGAACACTCCTCCATTGCTGGTGGGAGTGAAAACTTGTACAGCTGCCACTTTGGAAATCAGTATGGCAGTTTCACAGAAAATTGAGAATTAATCTACCTCAAGACTCTGCAATACCACTTTTGGGCATATAACTAAAGGATGCACACTCACACTACAGGACATTTGCTCAACTATGTCCATAGAAACATTATTCATAATAGCTAGAACCTGGAAACAACCTAGATGCCCCTTAACTGAAGAATGGATAAGGAAAATGTGGTACATTTACACAATGGAGTACTACTTATCAGAAAAAAAAAAAAAGAAAGAAAAATGACATCTTGAAATTTGCAGGCAAATGGACAGACAGAACTAGAAAAAACTCTCCTGAGTGAGGTAACCCAGACCCAGAAAGCCAAATATAATATGTACTCACTCATAAATGAATATTAGACTTAAGGGAAAGGACAACCAGACTATAGGCCACAACCCTAGTTAACCTAGGTAACAAAGAGGAGCCTAAGAGAGACATATATGGATCTGCCTAGGAAAGGGAAACAGACAAGATGTCCTGAGTAAATTGGGAGCATGGGGGCAGGAGGGAGGGTGGAAGGGGAGAGGGAAAGGGAGTGGAGGAAAATATATAGCTCAATAAAAATAAATGAAAAATGCTTATGCAAATAGGCTTATTGCATTGTATGTAATTTTAGTTAAATAAAAAAATGATTCCTTTTGACTTTTTAAAACATCCCAAGAGCTATTCTTCCCACCTCCCCCTCTCTCCTTCTGTATAGACTTCCTCCATCATTCCTAATAAAAGTCCCCTCATTTTCCCACTCCCCTCTCATATGGGAAACATGGAGTTCATCCTTCCTTCATCCCTCCCTCCCTCCTCCCTCTCTCCTCCCTCCCTCCCTCCCTCCCTTCTGTATTTGTTGATTTGTTTTGTGCCCCCAGGATGAGGTCTATTCAGGGGTATGCTGAGGGGAATGTGTATTGTGGTGTTTGGATAGAATGCTCTGTAGATATCTGTTAGGTCCTTTGATACATAAGGTCATTGTATTCTGATATTTCTCTGTTTATTTTTTGTCCAGATGACTTGTCTATTAGAAAAAGAGGGCATTGAAATCGTCTACTATTAATAGTTTGATGTTAGTCTCTCTTTAATTTCCGTAGTACACTATTCATGGAACTGGGTGCACCAGAGTTTGGTGCATGTTTCTTGGTTAATTGTTGCCTTGATAAGAATCAAGTGTCCTTTATTTCTCCTGGTTCATCTGAGTTTGAATCTGTTTTTTCAGATGTTATGTGGCAATGCCTGCTTGCTTTCCAGTCCCATGTAATTAGAGGATGGTTTTCTACCCTTTCACTTTAAGGAGTTCCTGTCTGTAAGTTGAGTTTCCTGCAGACAGCAGAAAGATGGGCTTTGTTTCTTAATTCCATTCAGACAGCCTGTGCCTTTAACTGGATAGTTAAGGCAATTAATATTTAAATTCATTATTTAGAGGTATGTGTTGATTGTAGTTTTAGTGTTGTTTGTTTTGCTTTGTGTTTGGGTAATTATAGCTTCATTTATTTTCCTTCTGGAGTCTCCTGACTCTACTTATTCCTCTCTTCATTTCTAAATGTTGCCTTCAGTATTTGTAAGATTGGTTTGGTGAGCAGGAATTCTTCTGGCCTGTTTGTATGATGGAAACTTTTTCTTTTGTCTTCAGGAATGGCAAACAGTTTTGCTGGGCACATAGTTGGCTTTCAAAGTTTCCATTGAGCTGGATGTGGTGGCTCATGCTCTCGGGGGACAGAGGCAGATAGAACTCTGTGAGTTCAAAGCCTGCCTGATCTACATAGTGAGTCCTGGCCAGCCAGGGCTACATAGGGAGACC